GGGCTTAGCGTATAGTAAAACTTGACTAATAACTGAATAAAGAGAATCGACCAAGAGGTCACCTTAAAAAAAAAAAATAATAATAATAATTTGGTGCACCATGCACCATGGTGCACTCTAATCACAGGGTATAAATAGTGATCATCAACTGATTTAATCAGTTTGATTTTTTTTTTTTTTTTTTTTACTTTTGTTTGTTTCAACACGTTATATGATATTAGTTACTAATATTTTTCTTTTTTTTGTGACAGCTTTAGGTTGCTATCATCGTTTCTATAATTGTCATTTGTATTTGGTGTCGTCGTCATTACAGGTGCAGTTATTTAGATTTGGTTCTGTCATTTCAGCTTCGTTGTTGAATTGGGTATCGATGTTGTTAGCCCGGACGTGCTGCTAGGTAATGCCGCTTCTGGTTGTAAAGCCATTTCCAGTATGTACTTGGTTTTGTTATTTGCATATTATTATGCTTGGGTTAAACTTGAAAATAGTGGGATGTATGATTTTATTGTTGGTTTTAAACACATTACTAACACTTCTTTCTTTTTTCTAGAACATTTTTAGAGTTTTCTTGAGAATTTTGTGTGTATGATTTTGTTGTCTTTTGATCATGGATATGTTGTTAATACTCTTGAGAACCATGGAGCATATATTCGTGATTCTGGGGATATATGATTTTTTTTTCTTTTTAGCTTGTTAACGCAATACTAATTTTTCTTTTTTTTTCTAGATTCTTTAGGCGTATGTGTGCTTGTTCTGATTTTCAAACATGTTATTAACGCCATAAGAGTCTTTCTTCAGGAAGTGTGATTTTATTCGTTTATTGTTTTTGTTTTTTGGTTTTGAACGTGTTACTAATGCTTCTTTTTTTTTTCTAAGACCTTTTTGAAGTTTTCTTGAGAAATGATTTTGTTGTCTTTTGACTATAAATATATTGCTAATATTCTTGGGAACCGTGGGGTGTATGTTTGTGATTTCTGGAGACGTATGATTTTTTTTCCCTTAGCTTTGTTTTTAGCTTGTTAACACGTTACTAATATTTTTTTTTTCTAGGTTCATTAGTCGTATGTGTTATTAA